AACTGGTATGTTTGAATTTCTATGATTTCATTAGTAAACTTTAAAAGGAACATTAAATGATTTCATTCTAAATTTCGAAGGATTCCAATCTCAATAATCACCAAAGTCAAAACACACACACTTATGTCCATCAGCAATCTTATACAAACTCTCATATAAAACTACATCAATGTCAAACTATGACAGATTTCACTTAACCACCAGCTGCTTTGTTATGAACTTCATGCAAACTCTATCAAATATATTTTCACAGTAAAATTAGTATTAACCACCTGATAAGTATATAAGTATAAGTCTCAGGATGTACATAGAGTTATATGATAAATGTACTAATGTGAATTTCAGATTGTAAGATCTGTTTAAATTAGAAATATATTAGATTCGGTGATAAGTAATTTCTTTTGTTGGGAACCAATTGTAATGATGAATGCATCACCCTATGTGACAGTTTTTTATACTAGTGGAGACATTACAAGGCCCAAGAGCCATTCGAGGTAGAGGGTTACTGTGTAATGCTGTATGAAAATAAGAAAAAGCAAAAAGTGTAGTTCATGAAGTTATGTAGGAGAGATAATGGTTAACCTTAACCTTGAAGAAGTTAGAATTGTAATAATTGGGAAAACATCCTGCTGGGAGTCTGTTCCAAAAATAAGAAGTTCTTTGGAAGAAGCTGTGACTTAGAATAAATTTGTAGTATACTAACATACCTTAGTTTTTGCACAGCAGTGTCAGGGTACATGGTAAATTTCTTCAGATCACTAATAAAGAGATTGACAGTGTATTTATGTCACATAATGTTTTGGGAGTTCAAGTAAGGGAATAATTCCATGGAGACATCTAGAGGACTATGTAATGTAGGAGCCATAACTAACTTATTTGCAAAGTTTTGTTCTGGAGGAACATCATCGGTAGATGAACCCAGACTGAGTGTTCATTAAACTTTGAGGATGAAACTCTAAAGTCATTTATTGAAAGCAATCCTTGGCAAAGTACTTGAGAATATTAAATAGATCAAAATATACCATATTCCAACATTTAGAAATGAGTTTAAGGATCATCAAATTTTAAAATGATGTAAAAATATGCAGCAAAATGAGTTTTAAAAAACTAATAAAGAAATTAAGACACTGTCACTTCTAAGAAATTTGACTAGTATATTTGATCATCAAATTATTTCCATCCAAGTGGTGTTGGATTGACTCTTATATAATTGTAATAAATATTCCTTACCTTCTTTTTCATCTCCTCTGTGCTTCATTTAGTTCAAATTAATTAGCTTGTAAATAATAAAATGTTTTATGAAATGGATAAAAATATATTATTTGAAAAATGAAAAGGCAATTAAATATTTAAAAAATAGATTGTAAATTAAATATCAAATTCTGTGGGTAATCATTCAATTCTATTAAATATGATTAGTAAATATCAATCAACCTGATTGGTTGATATTCAAGCCTCTTGCATTCCATTGGATCATTTATCTCCAGTAATTATCAGCAAATCATTAACAGTGGATACGTAAGAAGAAAATTTAATGAAGCAGCATTTTTGTTAAATGCAGTTATTTCCAAAATAAATGTGTGAATTATCTCCCATGCCAAATTATGACATTTATGGTTTCCAGCAGAATCTTGTTTGTTGTAAAATGAATGCTATTAGATCCTATCATATTACAAGCAGGATTTAATCTTGGAAGGTGGGCAACCAACCAACCTGCCTAATGCTCTGCCAAAAATGCAATTAATTATTTAAGAATGAAATAACTGTTCAGCAAGTTCCCACCATTAGATCACACATTAAGAATATTATCACCTCAAAAAACAAAAAAAAATAAAAGTAAAAATAGAAGCCACCATGATTCTGATGATTATATTTAGGAACAACTGATTACTTCCCTTTTTAGATTTAGGAAATGAAAAAAACAAAATAGATATAATTTCCATGTAATCATTTTAGAAAATCTAAAATTATCAGACTAATTAAAGGAAAATTCGCATGTTGGAAAAATTGCTATAAATATGCCGAGACTGGTCACTTGTATTTGTCATCCTCAACTAAAGATACCAGTAAAAATTGTTATATATATATATATATATATATATATATATATATATATATATATATATATATATAAAAAAAGAACCAAGGTGTTAGTATAACCAATAGAAAGCCAGTCAGGTGAGCAAAAGGAAGTGTAGATAGAAAAAACTAACAACAGATAAGACAAAAACTAAGAAAAAACAATATAAGATTCTAAGAAAAAGAAACATAAAGAGAAATAAAAATCAAAAGATAGACACTGATGTAAACAGTAACAAACAATGCTCTATGCCTAGGTTACCAAGACAGAGCAATTATGCTCTCCATCATTAAGAGACAACATTCAAATGACTACTTGAGTTTCATGTCACAGTGACCCAGTGATCATCAGGTGACCAGAACACATCTGTTCACCTTAAGATCATGGTAGCATGAAACTTAGATGTATACACACACACACACACACACACATATATATATATATATATATATATATATATATATATAAATTTCTATCACTCATATGGGTGGGGATGGAAAATACAATAAACACCTGTTACAAGAAATTCTTAAGATGCAGGGATACTTACCTTTAAATTAAAACGTTTCAATTTCTGGCATCTGATGTGTCTACATAAATCAGCTTTATACCACTTTCAGTTTTACTGCTATTGTTTTTATAATGTCCCATATTGTAATAGCAGTAGTTTTGTTAGAAAAGAAAATATGTTGGATCATCTGGGATGTCGATTTAGCATGAAAGATTACAAAATTGGTGCACTTTCAGTACATTTTCACCATAATAAAATACTTTTTTCTATTATTTAAGAAAAAATTATCAAAATTATGGTATTAAGCATATTGGTTTTTAAAATATCCTGTTTGTGTTCATATAAATTGTTATTTAAATTCTTAGATGTTTTGACAACAAATTTCTTAGGATATTTTATAGAGTTTGTTTTGCAAATCCCATCCTCAGTTTAGAGGTTTTATATTAACTAAATCTCTCATTGCTTTTGAAGTATTTGTAACAAGTTTTATATTAAGATTAGATAAATACTTTTCAGTTGTAGTCATTATTGATTTGGTAATTGTTTTATCAAGATTGTTATTTTCTTTTTTAGGGATGTAAGACAAAGATGTGGCTTCTCACCAGAGTTATTCAACCTGTACAGTGAGGTGATTCTGAGAGAATTAGAAGTTCTACCAGGATTCATTATTGGCAGCCACAATCTTATCAACATAACATATGCAGATGATACAGTGTTGATAAAAGGTAATGACAAGAATTCCTACAGAAAGTACTGAAGGAAAGAGAGAAGAAAGGCAAGAAGATGGAAGGTATGAAACAGCCCAAAATACAAATTACAAATTGGAGATACCAAAATCAAACAAGTACAGCAGTTTAAATATCTAGTAAGTGTTTTAACAGATGACAGAAAGTGTGATACTGAAATCTGTAGGCAGATTGGGATAGCAAAAGATGTCTTCAAAAATCTACTGAAATTATTAAGAAACAAAAAACTTGATGGGATATTGTCGAGAGCCATCTATGCTAAGATTCTAAAGAGACACATCAAATAGAAGCAATGTTTTATAAGCTTCCTTTCTGTGTTATATATAAAATACTTTGGTTATTAAAGATATATCTTTAATGTATTTCTCTTTATCATGTAAATATTGAAGGCTATAAATTCTAAGTGCTCTTAAGTAGCAACCAAGACTTATGGCAGAATATATTTAGTTTATGAGTTCATTTTTTTGGTAGTGGAGTTTTGACAAACATTTAGTTTTAGATCTTTATTATAAGGTAGTTTTATCAGGTTTTTAAGTATATATGATTATGTACATATATATCTGGATAACCTTGCAATTATATCATGTATTTTATTAATACAACTTAAGGAGAATACTATTCTGTTTTCCTAATAAACTCTTGTTCCATTCTCTTGGGTGAGAATAGTTGATGGTTGGCAGATATCAGCTCAGGTTTAATTTTCTTCCCAAATATTATCTAACACTTTGAGGCATTGCATTTCTCTCTGTTTGCAGAAAACATTTGGTTGGTGGATTTTGAATAAGTGATATTTTGCTCTTGACATCAGACTGAGGTTAAGGTGAAGATATGCTTTGGTGATTTTAAGTACATTTATTCTGGAAAGAAGTGTGTGATAACTGAAAGGGAATAAAAATAAAGGAAATAAAATAATAGAAAGAAAATACAAAGAGAGGAAAAAAGGTATGGATTAAGCAAAGCAGATAGGAAGAAAAGAAGGGTAAGAATGAGAAAATAAGTAATAAAAGATGCAATATAAAAATGAATACAGACATGAGGAAAGAAAGATTAAAAAACAAGAATGAAAACAAACATAAAAATAAAAAAAATAAAAATGAATTTAAAAAATAATAAAAGAAAAAGATTGAAAAAGTAGCAGAAACAGGTAAAAATGAATTACAGAAAGAGAGAATAAAGAGGAAGAGAAGTGAAAGTGAAAAGGAATTGAAGTGAAAGTGAAAGTGAAAGTAAGGCAAAAATAGTAAAATTTCATCGCAAAACAAAGATATCCTGCAAATATTGAAAGGAAAATGTGTTTATCTGCTACTCCCTTTCATTGCTGTAGATCCACCCCAAAGTCAGCAGTAGCATCTTCACTGAAGTGGAAAAGTCCTTTATGAGATTTCTGCCAACATAAAACCTCATCCAGAAACACACTTTGCTTACAATTCACCTTTTATTGCTCATCCACACAGAAGTGCCACATTGCTTCTCACCATGTTTTTATCGTTAAATCTACTCATTTTTGGCTCAGCCATAGCTGGAGACATCTTTCAAGCTAGAGAGATCTTTTAACTGGAATCAGGGAAGAGAAAAAAAGTAGAGAAAAACTAGAGGATGATTGTTGTTTTGAGATAGTGTTGTTGGTTATGGTGCTAAACAGAGAAGTTATAGAAAGCAAGCAATGATGTTTGCTGTTCTACTTTCCGTCTTTTCTTCACTGATTTCTGAACTCTGTTCTTTCTTTCTTTTTTCCCTTCTCTTGCATTTCCAGTTGGACTTTGTTTTTTATTTCTTCTTCTTCTTCTTTATTCCTCCTCCTTTATCATCATCTATCCTTTATTGCTCCTATTTTTTCTCTGGATCACCTTTCCTTATTATTTCTTCCTCTTTCTTTCTTCCAATTTACATTAGATTTTCTTTTTTTTCCTCTTTTCTTAGTTTGTTATTTGTGTCAAATCTGTTATTTTTCTTTTCATTTTTTTTATTCTCTTGTTCAGTTCTTTTATTTCTTATGGCTTTTTCTTCTGGTTTTGAATTTCCTAAGCTCTTTCCTTTTATTGCTAATTGTTTTATTCCATATTTTTATAATTTTTCTTTTATATTCTTTCCTTATTTTATTTTTAATTTCTTTTTTCCTTTCTTTCATTGTTTTTCACCTCTGATTTTTCCTTTTTCCCAACATTAAGATTTTGCTTTCCTTTTCAATTTCTTGTTTCATTCTTCCTTCTTTTTTTTCTTATTCCCACCTTCTTTTCTAATCTTAATATTTGCATTGATATTAAACCGTTTGTAACTTAAAAAGTCTCTTCTCTTTCCATATTTCTTGGTTTTTCCCCATCTTTGATCCTTCCAGTTTTTTGTTGACCTTTCTTTCTTACTTTCTCGTTTTTCATGCTATTCATTAATGCAGTTTCTATTTTTCTCTATCAACCATTTCAAATATTTTCCTTCTTTTCTTTTTTATTCTTCCTTTCTTTTTTACCAAAGTCTTCTTTCCTTTCTTTTACATTTTTCATTTCTGTTTTGTATTTGTTTCTTGCTATCATTTCTTCTTCACTCAAACATCAACCCTGACCTTCAACCAACCCACAACGTTAACCTCGACTTCCTCACCTGCTCAAAGATAAATATGTTCTGGCTGGCATGCTCAGGGGAATCACAGATCTGCAATAACCAAAGATAGAGCAATCACAGTTGCAGAGAAGGCGCAGAGGTAAAAAGAGAGTTTTATGAAGTTTTCTGTTCAAGCCAAATTTATTGCAGAATTTGTCAAGTTTCACACAGTGTCTTTCCATTGGAAGCAAACAGTCAGAAAGGAGTCTCTGGAAATGGTAAGTTGTGGCAATCAGGGTATTAGCTATGCACGACATCAAGCGCATACTTATCAAAAAGGTTTTTTTTTCTCATGCCGGCTGATTTGGAATGAAGGATATTTATTATAAACGGGGCAGATCCAGTGCCAAGAGCAAAGGAAAAGCTGAGTTAGAAACAGGATTAAAGTTATGTCTGCAAAGGTTCAATGCTGATCATGTTATTTTATGACTGATGAAGATAAGTCGCCCAAATGCAATAACATTTTCCCCTCATAAGCCGAGAGATACATTTGATCATGCACACATACACCCACATGTACATATAAAGAAATATATAGATGTGAACATAAACATTTATACATAGATATACATAAAATACATGCATACATAGAGATTCCCATATACATGTAAAAATATATCAATGTATTGTAGTTATCATTCCTATATATATATATATATATATATAGATATATATATATATATATATATATACATGTATATATATATATATATATATATATATATATATATATATATATATATATATATATATATATATATATATATATATATATATATATATATATATATATATATATATGTATGTGTATATATATATATATATATATATATATATGTATGTGTGTGTGTGTATATATATATGTATGTGTGTATATATATATATATATATATATGTATATATGTATATATATATATGTGTATATATATATAGTATATATATATGTTCTGTATGTGTGTGTGTATATATATATATATATATATATATATATGCATATATATATATATATATATATATATATATGCGTGTATGTGTGTGTGTGTATATATATGTATTTATATATGTATATGTATGTATGTACATGTATGTATTTATATATATATACGTGTATATATATATATATATATATATATATATATATATATATATATATGTATATATATATATATATATATATATATATATATATATATATATATATATATATATATATATATATATGTATGTATGTATATATATATATATATATATATATATTTTAATGGATACTCATATTCAAGTAAACACTCTGTTTATTTAGTATTTATTACTTATTTTCATCTACCAGCCTGAATATTCCAGAAATCTTATTAAAGAAAAATATATGCTCTATTTCTTGAATATTCAGGTCAGTAGGTGTAAAAATAAATAAAAATACTGTTTAATAAATTTTGTAACCTAGGAAAGGTTACTGAATAGAATAATCAAATGAAGGTTGGTAATGAATGATAATACTTAGGACAAGAACAACACATATAAGATTCGCCAGCAGCACGTAGAAGAAGTAGTCAACTGCTAGAAGTGAGTCAAGTGAATTCTACAATGAATCTCCAACTGTAGGATATCTACCAACCGCCCCACGCAGTGAAATGTGGCACAAGGCCAAATTTAACGTGGGGTATCTGAGCGTGTAGGCTTGGCCAAAAATTCCCTGTAGATTCTGTATAAAACAGGATCAGGTAGCTGTTTCCCAAGACAAGACTCTGCCCTTAACATAACCTTGTCTGGGGATCCTCTCTGCCCACAGGCAGAGAGTTTGACCAGCACAGCTGGAAACAAATCTCCAACTGTAGACCAACATGTAGTATTCACTACTGTATTTATGTGAATGGAGACATACTCATTATCACCTGTATGTATGCTACAACAATAAATAAACAGAGCTTCTACTCAAATATGAGTATCCAATAAAAATACTGATTAAAGTGATAATTTAAGTAGGTATATATGAAGAAAATTTTGTTCTTTAGTCTAATTGGTAGAATTTTGTAAGAGTGATACACTGCGGAGCCAGTCTGCAAGTTATTTGTGAATCATAATGATATAAAATTTTGAAAAATCTTTGAGCCAAACAGGAAAGGAAACATTCTATTCAAGCTAATTCATGTCCTCTTTGTTGTGATAATAACAAAATATCTCTTGATAATTCCTTGTGGGTTACCCATTACCTGAAGAAGGCAGAACACAATAGCCGAAATGTTGTGATAATAAAAAGATGAGAATATTAGTCAGACAGCAAATAATGTAAATAGTAATCAATCCTCTTCCCACAAATTCAGATAGAAATTAACAAATTAAACATTTAGCAAGATGTTGAGTTAAGATGTTATTGAATTAAAATTAATGCCTTTATTTAAATTAAGGTTGTTATCCAAAACATATTTGCATGTGTGGAGGGTGATTCAATTGTTAACATAAGGAAAACTAACTTGGGTGAATCAAATTCAAAATTCACTTTCCCTGGTTGTGCATGTTCATTTTGCATAAATATACTGAATTAAAGCATGAATACACTTCCTCCTTAGCATATCACCGTAATTGATGCAAAAGAAATCAGACATGCTAGTTCTTCGGCAAAACAGTCACCCATATCTAAATTATCTCCCCAAGAGAAGCACCAAAAATATGTTACCCACATAAAAAGGTGTGACAGAGGATCATAGGAGGAAATAAACAAAATTAGTATATGTCCATTAATGGTGACATCTAAGTAAGTAAGTATACCTATAAAAATAAATAAATTGAACTATATACAATACAATGTGAATTCCCTGGGTCTTTGATACATTTATTATCACACAGTTAATGGGTTTGGGGGAGAAATTCTAGTATGCCTATATATATATATATATATATATATATATATATATATATATATATATATATCAGAATTAGCTATATATATATATATATATATATATATATATATATATATATATATATACATATACATATATACCAGATTTATATATATATAGATATATAGATATATATATATAGATATATATATACATATATACAGATTTTATATATATATATATATATATATATATATATATACCAGAATTATATATATATGTATGTATCAGAATTAGCTCTCTTTCTCTCTCTCTCTCTCTCTCTCTCTCTCTCTCTCTCTCTCTCTAATATATATATATACACACACCAGAATTAGCTATATATATACATAAACATACAAACACACACATATATATTTTTCAGGTGTTATCAAAACAGTGCTCAGTGTTATATAACAGAGCTAGTATATAATAAGTATATATTAATGAATATACATAATATTCCATATCGATAACATGACTTGGAGTTTTATGCAAAAAATACTCACTGACTGTTAAGTATTATGAAATTTGTGTTTTCGTACATAAAACCAAACACCTGCCATGTAACACCTATTAATAATCAACTTAACATGTAACACCTATTAATATTCATAAAACCTATCATTGATAACATTTTTTATATACCTATACACATATAATATTCCATATTTTAGATCATACTCAATTATTTTATGATGTGTGTATATGTAATTTCACCTTTGTAAGTTAGGTTCCAAGTGCATTAGATATATAATCTTAACCTATAATTGTTAACATCATAAGAGATAATTTTATTCCATTAGACATTACTTTAATAATATATTTTAATAAGCACCAATCAATTCTATTATAGCTAACAACTGTTTTTATGCAAAAATGGCAGTTATCCCCCTTGATACTTAGTGTGTTTAAGTAAATTCAAATTATTAAAAAATTATTTAAAATAATTTTTTATAAAATTTGTCATTTTTAGAACTTAAGATATAAATTATAAATAATTAATTCTAACATTATCGGCAACAATAATAAAATAAACAAGTCTTCACTTAATGGACAGTGAGTATTTTGCACCTGAAGATTGTGTGTTTGCATGAAACTCTGTCCTGCTAATGACATGGGATATTATGTATATTAACTAATATATATATATATATATATATATATACACACACACCAGAATTAGTCATATATATACATATTAATGTGAGTAAAAGTTTGTCACTTAGCTGATTGATGTTACCTTCCGCATCCAGACTCCAGAGTTCCATAGGCGAACATATCTGTCCACTCTTTAGTGAGTATCGGCAATTTACTGTTTATATATTTTTTATTTTTCCTTTTATATACATTTAACATTGGTGCAAGTTTTTTCTGCATTTTTTGTGACCGATTTTCATTTTGCTAGGGAAGTCGCATTTCATTTTTTACATAAGTATTTGATATTAATGCTTAAATTATATATATATATATATATATATATATATATATATATATATATATGTTATTAATGATATTAATGCTTAAATGGTAAAGACTTACATATACACATGCATATATATACATATACTCATATACAAACATACACACATACAAATATATTTATTTATCTTCACTTGGCTATTATTTTGTTTTTAATTTGGTTTGGTGCTATCATAAATATTAATTGTAGGAGGTTATATAATTAAATTTATAATTAAATATATTTATTATTGTGAGAATTTATGTGCATATGTCTGCATTTATACACCTATGTATACATACACATGCACAACTATTCACACACATATACAGGTATGGAACAAATACATTGAGTCAATTGCTTCTTCCACTGTGAGGAAAATTGGCTCTCTGTGCCGTGCCAGGAAATTTTTCTCCCCGGAATCGATACTTCAAATATACAAATCAACCATTTGCCCTTGCATGGAGTATTGCTGCCATATATGGGCTGGAGCACCTTCTGTTTACCTCGGAGTTCTTGACAAGATCCAGAGACAGATATGTAATATAATTGGCCCTGATCTGGCGTCTCGTCTAGTCACTCTCTAACAGATGCGCCGTCGCCTCTCTCTGTCTTTTCTACAA